GGTAATGAAATGTCTACTTGGAAAGACGTCGGAGAGGGAGTCACCATTAAACAATGTTGTTCATGCATGTCCTGAGTTGGAAGACTGCTTGGTGATTGGTGTTAGCACTCTACTCTAAATCAGTTGGTTTGTAGTTGTGTAACAACAGAAGACAAAGGTCAGGCAAGAGATCGTTTATAAAGGAAATCAACACATATTTATAGATTTTCATGTACATTATTACAGATTAGTTAAGCAAACAAACACAGTCTTCTGATTGGTTGTTTCGTCTCTTTGTGGCTGTTTCTTGAATGTCAGATCATCTATATGCTAACCGTATCCGCCTACGCAAAGTCTGCTGTGGTTGGTTGTTGAATCAGTCTTTGTTCTTATTTTTCTCACGACCAATATTGGGGACGTAAACATTGACGTAAATTACTGTCTACCGATTTGGCTAGTAGACAGCTCTCACCACAGTTGAAGTTCCACCTTGTTTACACTAGAACGTGTGTGTAACTGGGTGGTAGGTATGAGAAGGTTTTACACGCTTATCCTTTGAATTCTACTCATCACTGTATTTCATCATCATTTCATTTAATTTCGTACACAGGAGATTTCGATTCTGGAATGTTGTGAATTCCAGTGATTGTATTTTAATATCCCTCGTTACGCAATCATCAGTGTTTCTTACGACAGTCATTGATGATGCAGGAAATGTTTGTCTAAATTGTATTATAACTCGTTTTATTGGATGTTATGGGGGGTTGTTTGCAGCTGTTGGGAGCCAAGGAAATAGAGTGGATGGATATTATGCTTCAACATTGTCTATTTTATTTCATTTGCAATATTGTTTATTTGTTTAGTCGGTGTTTGAGGGAGGTAGGAAATTACGGGGTTCTAGTGTTTTTTCTTCATTGATTACATCTGTGTAAGTTTTGCCAATAATTTGTGTGTGTGTGCGTGCGTTTGGATCAATAAAATGTGTTATTTCTTGTGTTGTAGTCAAATGAGGAGACGCCGATGCCTTGTCCAAATCTAGACAATCCCTTTGAGGTGCACAATGCGGTGATCAGTGGTCGACATAAAAACCTTTCACGAGGTGATGCTTTACACTCCTATCGGACATTGTTTTGTCGTCGGTGTTTCAAGTATGATTGTTGCCTACATCCGTATAAGTCTACGCCGTCGATGTGGAGCCATCGTTGGCCGGTAAATGGAAAAACGAATGTCGGTTAGTGATAAATTCGATTTTTAAATGTCATTTGAATTACTGCTCCTCTACGGCTAACCAACCACCCTGTCCTTGCTCCACCTACCGAAACTCTGTGTGTGTGTGTGTGTACATCACCATTCACAATCTAAGGAAGTGCGTGTTTTCGGTAATCTCTCATCTCAGGATTTATGTTTCCTTAATAAGACGTTAATCCTGGACATTTGAAACTAATGTGGTTAGTAGAATGAAAGTCTCTATGACGAGAAGAGATGGAGAGAAATGCTTACAAGGGATGCAGGGTGCAGGAGTAAGGAATGTTTATGTTTGAATGCAGGTAGGAGAAGGATAGATAGGCTAACGGGTTTGGTCGTTTGAGGGTGCTGGACTTACAAATTGAAGTGTTCTCGTGGAGGCAGTTACATAGGCAGAAAGACTCGTGAAGCTCATGATGGCCTTGTTGAAGGTTGTCAAAGGTGAAACTGGATATTGACACATCTAGTAGGTAAGGTTGAGGAGAAGACTGATACAAATCCAACCTCTACAATTCTATTGAAGGTGTCACTTGAATTCCCTAGATTGGTCCGCCTTGGATTGCTAAGCATAGGTGTAGGGGAGTTACGATTGAGCGTTATCAACCGAAATTCTTTGTTCAGAAGGAGTTTGTTGAATCCCTCTCCTTCCACCGAGTAGAAAGAATCTGCCTCACTAGACACACAACAACAAGCACCAATCACCATCAACGACAGCATATGCATGTGTGTATATATTCAGCATACGTGTTTGACCTGATGATGGTTTCATTTTTATTTTGATAGTCTCCCGTTTACTTTGTGTCACTGAATTTTCTTCTGTGCTACTTAGTTTGTTCCGTCCTCTCATTCGAATATTTTGCTTTAAATGATATGAAAAGAGCTGAGTTTGAGAGTCGTGTATTTATAGATTGGGTATGATTTATGAACGACATGTGAGTGTATGTATATACCGCAGATTCTTTATCTTCGTGAGTGGATCTGTGGTGCTCATTGGTTTAGGGTGTCGACTGTGCACCAACTAACTGGGTGACGGGTTTAAACTATCACTGCATCTACCGAGAGTGGTTCGGGCAACAGTAGGTGTTACTATCACTGCCCCTCAGACATACGCGCGCACACACACACATGCCATAGGTGTGTTGTGGCTCCTCGTCGCCTTCATAGGGATTTGCAAGTTGTTATTTGGGTGACTGTATTCGTCAATAGTGAATATGAAATGGCTGACTGGGAAAGATAGATAGATAATTAAGCAAGAATGAATTCTGTCAACGTACACAGTGATGAAGAACCTATCGGCCAAGAAGTATGCAGAGGGAAATGGGGACAGATGGATTGGACATAGTCGGAGGAGATGTTTGATTGATGTTACAGATGAAGCATGCTCTCGGGTGGAACTGGAATGGATGAAACGGGAGGTGAGCAACTAGTAAGGTGGGATGTTCGTCCGAAGGTGAGATGGATGGAGGAGATGGTTTGAGGTGTGGATGCAATGAAAGCTGATGGAGATTGGTAGTGGGGTTAGTGAGCTGATAGAAGAAGATTGGAGAGAATGAGAGTGAAATAGAGTTGTGCACGGGATGGGTAAACGTCTGTGTTCCACTCGTGAAGAACCGAGGGGATAATAGTTATAATGAAATTGATGCAAACCGCAACAAAAAACCGCAGTGTCAATATATCTCAACATATCTGCAGCGGACATATGCCTACCGGATAAATGCCATGAAATTGTTGTGGAGTGAGAAGGAGTGACCAGTGGGATACGATACGCCTGCCATTTTAGGGTTAGATGGATGGATAGTCGCCGATGGCATTAGTTGAGGATAAAGCTGTGTAAGGGTAATTGACAGGTCGTTGAACTCCGACTCAGTCAGTGAGAGTGTTTATCGGAGTGATTGATATGGTGGCGGTAACTCGAAGGTTGCAGATTCGATCTTTGTCGGGATTGTGGGTGGGAATTACTGGAGGATTGGAAATACGGCGAAACAGCTGTCGAGTGTTTCCCGGTTTTCAATGACTCCCTCTAACTGATGTCGATTGGTGACGAAATCTGCATTGATCGGTCGGTCGGTTTTCGACATAGAACTTTGCACATATGTGCGTCAGTTCAAGTCGCCACATTCCATGTAGCACACAAAGCAAGAGAAGAAAGTAGAAGAAATGCATAATATAGACAGTAAACAGAGGTGTGAGACAAAGGAATAGTAATAACGAAGAAGAAAACAGTTTTATTGGAAATCATAAGTCACAAGGAGTGGATGCATCTGCGTTAGCCATTGAGAACGATCACTTTGAGCCATGTCACCAATTGTTTCCAACCATTGGTTTTTACCGTCCCGAGGACCCCAACCAGGAAGTCTACACCTTCCTACATGGCTAGACTAACTGTTGTGGATTTCATTGACTGGTGCCATGTTTTGGTTTGACCGCCGCTAGCTCTCTCTTTTCCAGCCTGACCCTATATCAGCTAACATTGCCCGTCTGTCGAGGAAGGCAATGACTAGGCATACGTAACACATGTCCTAACCATCTCAGTCGATGTAATTTCACAGTCTCATCGATTGATTTCCCCTCCTTACCTAGCACTCGCCTGATGCCTAACCTCAATATTGCTCAACTTATTATAGCACTTCACACAGGAGATAGAACGCAGACACCTATGATCACAGACAGCTAATCTTTTCATGTCTTCTGCTCTCAATGGCCAGGTCTCAATCACAGGCATAAAGGAGGACGGAGCGGACTGCTGAGCAGTACACACGCCCTTTGGTCGATAGCGAGTCGGATATCACGTCTACTAAGCCAGAGACGGCGTAAACTGGCATATGCAAAACTAGCCCTCTGTATTCGTAGTGAGATTTCGTCAGAGATCAACCCGTTGGCACTGGCTGATGCGACTTCCCAAAAAAGTGAAGCGGTCAACGTTCTCTACCACTTCACTTCCTATTTCTAAACTAAGAGTCGGTGTAGTCCAATCCTGCAACATCACCTTACATTTTACAGGGGCGAATCGCATGCCAAACATACGAAGATTGCTGCCCAAGGTTTTCAGAAGACTCTGCATTTTGTCAGCGTCCTCGCCTAGAAGGACTATATCGTCCGCATATTCTAAGTCAACGAGATTATTCCCTGGTAGCAAGTCAATCCCTGAGCCTCTGAAGTATGTTAGGGTTAAGTCCATTAGTACGTCTATGATGAAATTGAATAGAAATGGGGATAATGGGCATCCTTGGCGGACGCCACTAGTTGTCACCACTTCAGATGACAACTCGCCGTAAGCCCTCACCTGGCTGGCTGCATGAGTACGAGTAGAGTTCCTTAATCAGTGCAATGTATTTTCTCGGCATTCCCTTTACAGCCAAGCATCTCCAGAAAACCTCTCGGTCGACAGAATCGAATTCCGCCTTTAGGTCAAGAAATATAACGGTTGTTGAACGCCGGTAAGAATGCCTATGTTCTAGAATCTGTCGAAGGGTGAAGATATGATCAATACACCCTCTTCCTGGCCTAAAACCTGCCTGGTTTTCTCATGTTTGTGCCTCCCGAGCACCACTTAGTCTACGCAGTATTATTGAGCCTAGGATTTTAGATACTATATTAGTCGAGCTAATCCCTCTGTGATTATCACAAGAAGAAATCTGCATTGAAATTAATCCATAATGGAAATAATATCAATCATAAGAATGCTATAATTTATTGATTTTTGTGAGGGAATATTTCTCCTCAGACTTGATGTGTATATTTTCCTTTCTCCTTTTCTCTACCTCTGTGATTTCTAGAAATGGATGGACCATATTGTGGTTCATGGTGTGTTCGCCAGTCGGTGAATGACACTGCTGGACAGAACTCAATGAATAACAATAATACTAATAAAAGATGTGATGCAACGCGTGCACCCAGCAACGTGGAATGGAGTCATGATGAAAAATGTCTATATGAAGTGTTGGCTCCACTGTTTATCCCTTACGGAGATCCATCGTACAATTTATACAACTGGTGCTGTAGATTGTCGAAATTACTTGGAACGAAAAAGTGTTGTGATGTGAGTTTATTGATGCTTCAGTGTTTTCTGTTAAATGTGTGTGATCATTTTCGAATAGGCTTTTTCGATTCTTCTTGTAAAGTATGTTGACTGACTTTATGACTGTGGTTGTTACTGACGTGTGTGTGTGTGTGCGTCTACTCACTGAATGATGGGTTCTGCGGCTACTATAATATAGTTTTGTGAATAGGCTGGTAGGTAATGTTGGCTCGGATGACATATTTATTGGAATAGCTTCTTGTCAAGTAGAAATAGTCTGCAGAAAGGGGTTGACCACGTTTTCATTTCACTTCTAACAATCAGGTGATTAGCAAAATTTTGATGTGAAACTGAACGGACAATGCAGAGCTAATTTGTAAAGGAATGCATTTCTTCGCTCTGTCTGTTGTCATTTCCATTGATTTTATGATAGTGATGAAGCCGTTGCGTCGTCATTGGTTGAATGGTAGAATGAATGCTCAGTCAGTCAGTCAGTAGTCACGCTGTGGAGGAGTTAGGGTTCTATTCTCGATCGATTGCTGTCTTGACATCTGTCTTGACGTGACTAGCAGTAAGCCCTGAAAAGTAGTAGATTCGATGGATGTTGATGGGAACAATTCCACGGTGTATAAACGACGGCGACAACAAAAGACACACACACACAGCTGCTACTGAAGTTTTGAGAGCTCGAAGCTGTCCTATGTTCCAGTTGGCATGTAGAGGCAATAAAAGAATCGGTCATTGGGAATGTCACTGTGAGAATCTACGGAACACAACACGGAGAAGGTAACGTGTTAAGTCAGTGCTCCTATATGCTTCGGAGACTTGGCGTGTTGCCAGAAGCATTTGTATACTGTGAGAAGTGCTTGTTAGTGGTTATCCTTCACCCTGGTTGGCGATGTGGTCTTCGTTGTGGAGATATGGTGGCGGTGTATGCGCATATGAATATGTGGATGGATGGATGGATGAAAGAAACGCTGAGGGGACTATGAATTGACTTGAAACACCAAGTAGGCTGTCGAGTAGTGAAACCTGAAGAACTGGAGCAGCCGAATGGGTCTTGTGTGGCAGCCGTGGTTAACATAGGCGTTGACGATGATGTCTGGAGGAAATGAAGAGTTCCTATACCACATGCGATCGATAGCTGGCTGGGCTCAGAGTACAGGGCTCCGTATGTCTCTCTGTGGACGCAAGTAACGAATATTGACGATGGCAATAATAAAAAAATAGTAATAAGAACAACAGTATTACGGATTTCTAGTGAGTAGATAACACAACACTTTTAAATTTCATAGGTTTCTTTGTTGTGGAATGGTAACTTTTTGACTGGTTAGCCAGGAGACTGTTGGCTTAAAATCCACTGGAGGTTGGACGTTTCATTCCAACTGATCGCAAGACTTGATAAAATCGTGATATTGTCTTTGTGTTGCCTCTTTTATCCATATGTTGAATTATCATAATTAATAATACTGCTACTGTATTATTATTATTATTATTATTATGATTTAGGTGTTGGCATATACAAATACACAGGATCTTCCAACTCTTCTAAAGCCAGATTCTGGTCAATTGAGTACGTTGCGTGTACCGGGTACCGGTGAAGAATGGAGTCAACGATCGGCTAGTACAGCATCGTTGGATGGTTATGATTGTGCAGAATCAGCAGGATCATGCAATGGAAGTGTACAAGGGAATGGAGAGTTTTGTGATGAAGCGTTGTTGGTGGGGAATGAATCAAGTAGTTGTAATGGTGTAACAACAACAACAACATATCGTCGTAAACGAGCCAAGAAACAGGCTAGAAGAAGGATGGTATTGAAGTTACCAACTCCTCGTGAAGGTAAGTGGTCAGGTGGTGGTGGTGGCGGTGGCGGTTGAAGTCTTTCCTCATTTGTTGTTTGTGAACTGACTTCGATGATGCTGAAGAGAAAGTGTGTGTGTGTGTGTGTGTGTGTAAATAGATAAATTTGAGTGTTTATATGGTTCACCTAAGAGAATGATTGGTCGTTTAACTGTGTGTGTGTGTTCACAGGATAGGTGTTTTGATGTTGCGAGCCATGATCGGCTCTCAATGCCATTTGATCACTAATTGGCCTGAAGTGTGCATTCAGACGAAATTCGTGCCTATCTTATATCAATCCTTATTCTTATTGCACCTTCATGAGAGCATAATGCATTTCCTGCCCCCCCCCGTCCCTTACAATCTAGCACTATGTAATCTTACTATTTGTTTTCGTTAGGCTTTATCTTTTACAAGGTTGGTGTGAAGATTTGTTTAGTGTTTTCGATTACTCTTGTTATCATAAAGTATTCCACTTGTTCATCTTGTCATTAATAGGATTATTATTATTATTGTTATGCAATAGTAATCATTTGTTAATGTATGAGCGACGATATATATTGGACTGAAGCCTGATGAGCTTTTATTAGAGAAACAGGATATTTCATTGGTGGGTGGTGACTACTAACAGTGGAATCCAGGATGCGCGTTTCGTCCTATTCGGGACTGGTGACTGGATGCATCTACATTCAATTCCCCAGTGAGTGATGGTGTTCCCACCGGGACTCGAACCAAGTGCCCATAGTTTCCAACGCCAAAACGTTATCCGTTAGACCACTTGAGCCACGAGGGCCACCCACCTCTTGTGCAACGGGTCATATTGATTATTCAATTGAATTTTAGATTTTCTCGTCGATTGATTGAACCGAAGTGCTCGGTCTCAGGTTGACATTTGTACCTGCATCCAGTGACGAATCCCAAGTTGGACGAAATGCGCTTTATCCTGGATTCCACTGCTAGTCACCATCCACCAATTAATTAACTTCTAATTACATGCCCAGACATCGTCGAAGTATCTGCACAAGAAGCCAGCATGTCAACCTGAGACCGAGCACTTCGGTCCAATCAATCGACGGGAAATTCTAAAATTCAATTCGCTTACGTATGTTGTTGTGTATTAAATTCTTATTATTGTTAATACTCATTCCTTGCATCCCTAGTAGAGCAGAGCAGAGCAGAGCAGAGCATAGGGCTTCAGCGGCAGCCCATTCGTATTGTACTCTGCCTTTCGTTGTCATTCTCAGGTGACTCGAGGACTACATAGAAGCGTATACGCTCTGCTGACATGGTCCGCTCAATGCTGTTGCCTCGAGAACGATGGTCGAAAGGTGGCTTCTCATTTGAATTCCTCCTGAGGATAGGGTGGGGGTGGAGTGGTGTAGGGCATGGGGTTTTCGTGACAACAACTACTACGATGACTTCTCTTGTGTCATTGGCATGTGTTTGCTACTGCATCTGTGTGTCTAGTGGTGGTTGATTAGTAGAGTGCTCAGCAGTCATGCTGAGGTGGCTGGTGTTCGATTCCTGACCATCGATGCATTGTTAGGCCTCACGTAGTTGTTTATTACTACTGATGTGGGTAGTAAGCGCGTGAAGAGGCGGTTGAATGGATGGTTTGGCGTGAGGCGGCTATTTCAAGCCCACCTATCTGGTGGTGGTAAAATTCAATAACACCACTCACCATATTCCACTTGGAACCCAAATGGGATAATAATGAAAAGTAATGATACTACATGGTTATTGTTTGTTTTTGTTTTCTTTCTTTTCTGGTATATAGACGAGGATGAGAATTCACAAACGAGTGCTTCTCAACATCATGGTAATAGTGTTCTACCGGTTGGACCTTCGGCACATCATTATCACCCGTGTGATCATCCCGGTCAACGATGTGATGAGTCGTGTTTGTGTAAAAAGGCTGGAACATTCTGTGAAAAATTTTGTCAATGTCCGCCTGATTGTAGGAATAGGTGAGTGGCTGTTTTAATGGGATTGTTTTTAGTCAACTGTAAGTGGAGTGTAGTACATAGTCTAGTGTTGCGTAGTGGATTGTAGACTTTAAATTTTTGAATTTTGAAGAGAATACTGTTCTTCTTCTTCTTTTCTTCTTATTCGTTGTGAATACGGAGTGGAAGATAGGGTGGTAGGGTTGCATGTGTGGCGTATGAACTGGACATTTCACCCTGTCGTGTGCTTTGTTTGTTTAGCTGACTCTCCCATTGGTCATAAGCTTTTGTTTCCTCATCACTACTACATAGTGTCTTCCATGTCACTCTGGAAACGTTGCCCAACTGTACCAGTGGTTTAGATACTGTTATTGACTTCATGAAAGCCACTGCTTCAGTGTGCTGTGGTTGTCGTATAGATGTCCGGAGTAGATTGTTGACTCTGAAGTTAACAATGTGGAGAGTTCACTTCGATTGCATCTGCTCTGACAGAGATTCGTAACATTTCTATGCCATATGCCCCTACTTCTTTGATAACCTGGTAAGCATATTCAGATCTTTGTTACATTGTAAGAACATTTTCGCCTTCTTTGTGAGAAGACATCAGCTGACTGGATTTGTGAACGGTTTCACCACTTGCGTCATACCGTTTCTGCAACTCCTAAGAAAAATAATTTTATTATTAATTTGGCTTTGAAGATTGTGTATTGAGTGGGTTGATTTTCTCGTCTAGGATCGGTAGCTCGACTCCCAACCTTCCTCCGTTTTTTCTTCTGGTGCTTAGGATCGGCTATTGAAGCAGCGCGAACTTGGTGAGATTGTGTACGTGTGAATGGAGTTTTAAATATTGTACAAGGCAATATCATCGACACACACACTGTAAGGGTTTATTTCGTCGGTACCTTTTATCAGCTGCATACAAATGACGCAAAATAGAGATCAACGATTATAGTTGGTGAACGAGATGATGATGATATAATAAATTAGGGTTGAAAAAAAGATGAGTTGTCATGGTAAAGAAGTAATTGTTACAGTTTCTTTTTGAATGGATAAGTCATAGTCAGTCAGTGAGTCAGGTGTGTATAAAATTGAAATATTGTTTTGGGTTTCTTACTTCAGGTTTCCAGGATGTCGTTGCCGTGGACACTGTAATACGAAACTATGTCCTTGCTTTTTGGCCTTTAGAGAATGTGATCCCGACATATGCGTGTCGTGTGGAGCACAGTCTTCTTTTGGAACATTCTCTTCAATGACGGATTTATTGAATGCGTTAACGATTAGTTCACCACGTGTTACTGGTACATGTCGAAATGTGGCGTTACAAAGAGGCTGGCGGAAGCATCTGTTGATGGCGCCATCTGATGTGTCTGGGTAAGAGAGTGTCAGTGTTGTTTGTATTGTGTAATTTAATTTTGGTTGTTGTTGTTGTTGATGATGATGACGATGAAGTCTCAGTCTTCGATTGAAAGATCGCCTCACACTACTGCTGTTTAGTTAAGCACTGTAAAAGTGTGATGTGCGTAGCTCGAGCACACTTTGAAGGTGGAAAGTGCTGGAAGTTTCATTCACTAGGTTTTCCAACCTATCCTCAATTATGTATGCAAGTATAGGGTAGGGTGCTATTGGTGATCCCATGGCAGCACCCTGAGTTTGTTTGTTTATTTTCCCCTGGAATTAAAGTGATGTAGAGAAGTCAGGCATTGGTGGTGGAGTGTTGGTATGTGAAGTCTTCTAGTGTTACTTTGGTTGTAAGTGTAAGTTGTTGGTGAGAAATGAGTGGGTTTTTGAGCGCTTCTATAGGCCTATTGATGGGTATTTGTGTGTGTTTATATATAGAGTGATGATGTGTAAACTATCCATTGGTCTCTTCGGTGTCCAGTTTCAAATTATTCAGTGTATGTTTATGTTGATAAGAATTACTGAGTGTATATTTTGCGTGGTTTCCAGACAGAATTTAATACAATAGAGGTAGATATTTTTAGAATTGATAAGTAGGTGAATTTGTAAAATCAAGTATGAAGTTAATATGGGATATGGCGGTGAAATATGAGCTGTAAGATTTTCATACATTGTACTGTGGTGAATAGCTTTGGACGCCGAACTGTACTCTCTCTCTAGAGAGAATAGTGACAGCGTTACACTAGTAGTTTGTGCTTAGATGAGATCTGCCATTTGTAAGTTGAATGTATTACAAGTTGTTCTCCCGATTATTTAGTTAGTTAGTTGGTTGGTTGGCTGGCTGGCTGGCTGGCTAGCTAGCTATGGAGACTTTCGATAGTTTCAAATGATTCGACTCCCTATGAGCTGAGTGAATACTAGGTACACCGATAATGAACTTAGCTGCAGAAAACGAGAGAAATGGTTGTCCGTTGTGTATTTAGATGGATCACCTTGGTCCAACTGGCTAGCTAGCTAGCTAGCTATCTAGGTAGCTGTCCAGCACTACTTATGTCGGCCGATGAATGAATCAGTAGTATATACAGCGTCATATGTAATGTTTTAATTTTTGTGCACACATATATTTCATAGTTGGGGCATATTCATCAAAGACGGTGCCGAGAAGAATGAGTTCATCTACGAATATTGTGGTGAGATTATTAGCCAGGATGAAGCAGATCGGCGTGGTAAGTTGTTAAACTCTGCGGTTATTATTATTATTACTATTATTATTATTATTATTATTATTTACTAACAAATCAATGAAAGTGATAATTTAAAATAGGAAATGGTTATCTTTTTATGGTGATTATCATGCCCTTGACTGCTGAGTGGGGAATGTGGTGCTTCAACCGGAGATCTTCGTTTTCTGGAGTCTTTCATTAGCTGACTACACAATTGATCTTGAGGTTTCATTTGCTTTGCCTCACGTGATCGCCTGCATATGTGTGTATGTGACCATGGAATGTGTCATGTCGTCTTTTCTCGTTCGGTTCCCACTTGAGCGATGGTGTGAGGGTTTGTCCGATCGATCTCCGTCTTCTTCGGCATATTTGTTCAGCGAGCGATAGGGAGTTGGTTTGTTCGTTGCCTTACCTCTCTAACTTCTTGACGACCGTAGTCAAGGTGGTGTATATATTAGCTTCCTACATGGCTAGCTGAAACGAACAATCAGAGAGTTTGTGGGTTTATTGGGAGATTTTGATTTGATCACTCGTAATTCCTTTTGCATATAGTCGTATGTCAGTCAGCGTTGTACAAGGTGGAGGAGGAGGAGGACATTGACTCAGCATGTATCGTACATGTTGTGGCCATGTGAATCTATACAGCGTGTTGGATTGATTTTTTTGTCCTGAGCTGACAGTGTGTGTACCTCGTGTCAGTATTACTCATCATGTTCTGTAACTTTACATGGGAGATAGAACGGTGATACACATCTATGGGTAAAGATAGCTAAGTTGTAGAAATCTTCCATTTGAAGAATCATTCATGAAGTGGTGGTGGTACCCTTAGTGTCCTGTACCACGTCAGTGCTTATATAACAATAATAATAATAATCTGTGAATTTGCGATATGAGGACACCACAACTGTCCGTGTTATTTGTTCTCTTCGAAGTGAGCGGTGTTAGTAGTAGTAGTAGTAGTATTCGTTGAAGACTGTTGATGTCCACGGTAACAATCGCTGGATGCTGCTTTCTCTACTTCACTCAGGCTTCGTTTGCTCTTGGAAGTGTGTGGGCAGTTGTTACTTCCCGACTGCCCACACCGTGGAAGTTGATTGATTCTTCGGGTACCTGGAACAGAGAGAGAGAGAGAGGGTTAGTATCGCGTGACTGCAGAGCCCAGGGGACAACTGCCTTAGGCCGATCACACACGGCCTGTATGAACTGGCTTCTGGGATTGGTTCCGTATTAGTAAACTTACCGCCGGTTACGGACCACCGTAGGTGGGGTAAGTCGGGATGTACAATTTTTGGGGTCGACCTTTTCTAACCCCCTCTCTCCAGAGTGGAGAGACAGCATAGGTGGCTGGCATGCTGGTCATCTGAGGGAAACCCTCACTGCTGTTACACCCCTGTTCCCCATCAGTACGACTTCGCCCTCAGACCCCCAGCATTGTGTAAGAAAGATTCCTACACAATGCCGGTAACTGCTTTTAGTCTAATCACTATCCTAACAACCTTCCTGGCATGGTGGGACCTGCAGGAACATTGGTTCCAGCTAATGTAGCTTGTTGGGTCATCGCGATGTGCAAGCCCGACCACCACGTCCAGATAGCAGCTATCGGTCGGTCCGTCATTCACTAGGTTAATATAGAAAGGTGACTGGAAGAACATATTGCAGTAGTGTTCTTGAACAGCGGATGGATAATCGTCGCACCAACTTTTTCAACATTTTTTCATTCTGTTTTCATCTCATTCCCCTCCTTCTAATAGGAAAAATTTATGATAAAACAATGAGCAGTTTCTTGTTCAATCTTAATCGGGAGTTTGTTGTGGATGCTACTCGAAAGGGTAATAAAATTCGATTCGCCAATCATTCGGTTAATCCAAATTGTTATGCAAGGGTGAGTAAGTGTGTGTGGGTGTGTGTGTGTGTTGATGTGTAAGATACCCAAATAGTTTGATATTGTTTTAAACCTTTCCTGTGTGTTTCTTTATATATGCGAGTAGTAGTTTTGCGAAGTTTTTTCTGTCGGATTCATTTAGAATGATGATGATGATGTGTTGAATCCTCACTGTCTCCCAGCTAGCTAGCTAGCTAGCTAGCTGAATGGCGGCTAGCTAGCTGGGGCTTCTACGTGATGTATTTGCATGTTTCAGTGTTTGATACTCAAGATGATTGAGTGAGTTTAGTGGAAATAATCTAGTGTGATATAGAAAATAATGGCTGTACACTGTTGACGTTGATGTTGTGTGATAGAAGTGTCCTTGAGGAGAAGGTAATTATGCATATGGTATCTTCTAGTCATTATTATTATTATTGTCTGTCCTAGTTGATTCGACAGTTTTGTTTGTCTCCGGCCAATTGGAGTGTATTCGAAGACACTGAGGTGTCATTGTAAAGCAGTTGTGCCTGAGAGAATAACCCTTTGGAAGCGAAGTCAAATTTGTAAGGCCACACGTCAGTGAATTTGTTATAACTTTGGATAATAAAAGTAGTAATATGGGGGTGTGTGAGAAAGAATATGGAGGGCAGTAGGTAGGCAACTGGATTGAACAACGAATGCAACAGATTGTTGTCCCGGAGAAATATTCTGCTTTCGTGCGCCCACAAAAGAAAGATAAGACGGGAATGGCAACGACAACAACAACAACTTTATTAGACATAATTTGCGTCATATGTTTATTTTAACGTAAGATATGTGAATTCACCGGAGGTTTTCATGTGCCTCTGTGGTGTGCATAGGATTTTTAAAAATTTTACTCTTTCGTCCAATTGGTCTGTTTTCACACATATCGTCATCATCATCATTGTTATTATCGTAAATTATTGTGTCGTCGAATATATATTTATTTGATAAAAGCAGCCAGCACACAGTGATGATAGAGTTTTGTACACGGATGACGTTTCGAGGAGACTTTGTCACTGCTGATAATCATGTGCGGGTAGCCAATCACGTAACTTCGGAACTTTGTTCACATAATCGCATTATTTCTATGTGTTCTTTGATTTTAGTGGTAATAGTATTTTGTGTATCTGTGATGTTTGCGTGTTAGGTGTGTAGATTTGACGCTTTGACTGCATTGTGTGTGTGTGTGTGTATGAGTGTATGCATTAGAATTGGTAAGTTTCTTTGCAAACAATTCGTATTCATGGGGTGAATCATTGTACACCTGGCTAAATCCTTATATTCTGATAATCTGATTGGATTCCACCGATCTTCTAGTTGTAGATGTCCCTTGCCTACATGGTGAACCTGTAGATGGGGTCATTTCTTTCTTCTTAATAGTGCTGTGGTCAATAGTTGGATAGCTGCATTTCCTTTTCTTGTGCGCTTTTTCAATCTCCTTAGTGGATTTCATGGAATTGTTATTAAACACCAGCTCATCATCTTCTATCGGTTTCCTCATTTATTATTCAGCATTTTCGATGAGCCTGCCTTTACCGATAACGGGTGTTTAGATAAATTAAGGTGGAAATGTGTATTAGATTAGAGTGGTGTAGGAGTATTTTTGTCCTACAGATTTAGTCCTTCCTCAATACTGACGATACAGAGTCTTGGCTTAGCTATAGTTAAAACAGAATGACTCGACTTAAACTTTATCTGTTTCTAAAACATAAAATAAATCATACAATTACACCAAGAAAAATGTACAAATCCACTGTCATTCAAAAAAGGACAAAAACGTACCGAACAGTATTGAGGGTACGGACAAAATGAACAGTCAATTAATTACATGTACACCCAAATAGAGTGACGGACAACAAAGAACATTCAAGGTCACATCACGTGGTAAGAGTTACGATAAATTGACCAATAATCGCGACAAGAAGGTCACATCATATTGATTAGCTGTCTATCATATAGTCTATGTATCTGTGGCGATTAACAAGTGGGTTGGCTCTCCACAAACCCTAGGGCACAGTTTATCCTCTCCTGTTGATTTTTTTGCTTTATACTCTAGCATGACAGGTAATTCTCCTTGTGGATTTTGTGACTCCATTCCAAGGTGAATTTAACTCCCTCTGCCCTAAGGAATGTATATGTGTATGTGTATGTGTGAAGTAAGTAGGGATGATAAAATGAAAGGATAAGAAATGTGATGAAATTATTATCATATGAAGGAAGTAGCGAAGGGATTGCATTGAGAGTTTGCCTTGATATGATTCTGAGGAGTGATGAATTCTGCTTGAGATGTCATCAGTAAGTAAACCATCACTGCATCTGTGTGTCCTCTTATCCGATATTTTTATTCACAGTGATGGCATTATGTGCTGTACGACTAGAGTGTGTGTGTGGGGGGGAATTGTTTGTTATATGATCCATCAGTTGTGTTATTGTTTGTCTGTCTACAGGTGGTGATGGCGAACGGTGATCATCGGATCGGTATATTTGCCAAGCGTGCTATTCTCCCAGGGGAAGAACTATTCTTCGACTATCGTTATGGTCCAATGGAACAGTTGAAATATGTTGGGATTGAGAGAGGCGATAAGGACAATAGTCGTAAAACTGGTACTGCTAGCGGTAGTAATAGTGGTGGTGGTGGTGGTGGGAAGGTGAGAAATGCTTTACGCCCATTGAATGAATCTAGTGAGTTTCCTGCATTGCGATGAAATCAGTCGGCCAGTGGGAAGATCAAAGTGATCTGTTGTAATGCAGTAAGTGTACTTATTTTTGCTATTGATGCCTCTGTATATTATGTATTTATTCAAACGCAGAAAAAAACTTGGTACAATATAGCACCAAAAAAATGCGCCACACAACAACAATAATAAAACAACATCGATGAAAAGTGAAAAATATAAGTAGAGAACGGATAGAGAACTTCATCTTGAAGGAAAACGGTCATGTTTAACAAGTTCAAACAGTATTCGTTAACTATCATCAGGAAGGGAAGAAAGAAAGAAAGAAATTGCAACACGTTTGCCATTGATTACGATTCTTGGCCATATCCAATAACGTTTCGAGCCATCGATTCGGGCTATCTCGCGGACCCCAACCAGGGAGGGAGTCGTGACGCACCAACCGATTCTAATCTAGCACAAATATCCTTCATCCCACGAAGCCACGTCATGGACTGTCCACCCGTCCGCCTTTTCCATCCTGTCCCAGGGCTAGCGAACAGAGACCACCGGTACGGAAGCCTCTGAGATGACATTCACAGCACATATTCAAGCCACCGGAGTCTGTGTTTCCAGATGACGACACTGAATGAATGATGATATCCACTGTGTTCAAAGACTCGCCGCCGAACCTCGGAATTACTCACGCGATGATGATTCCGAACGCAAGTAATCCTGCGGAGACAGCGATGATGGAACACACAGAGCCGTGGAGAGGCCAGGTTTCGCAGGCGTAGAGTAAGACAGCCCTCACCGAAGCATTGTATACCCGACCTTTGACAGCCAGGCTAACGTCGCGACGGCGCCAGAGGTGGCTCAAGTTGATGTATGCCACCTTAGCCTTCATTATACGGTTGGAAATCTCATCCGTCACCCCTCCGCCAGCACTCACACATCTACCCAGATACACAAACTTATCAACAACTTCAAGCGGTTCACCCACAGGTACAGGCTCCTGCCAATCTTGTAACAGTAGTTTGCACTTGGGACGGCGCAAAGTACATACCATATTTACAGGCACTGATCACCAACTGATTAAGTGCGATTTGAGCAGCCTGCATGCTATCGCACAGTAAGACGATATGATCTGCATATTCGAGGTCGAAAAGTCTATCTCCAGGTAGTATATCTACACTACCTTCACATACATCCTTCAGAGCTGACTCCAGAATGTCATCGATGGCAAAGTTAAAGTTTAACTACCTGACCAAAATGGTCAACAGGTTGACGTCATAATTGAAAAATCCTCAGACATAGTTTAACTTTAGACAGACACTGAAGATGCCTAAACTGACGAATGATGTTGGGGAGAGCAATTAGGCCGAAAGTAAATTTCATCCTCTAACTATGTATGCTAGCATAGTAGTCTCCTTTTTTTACCCTTCACGTTCCCCAGTGGCCTATGTAAGACAGAAGTTTCGCTTAAGGTGGTCGTTTTTACATTGCGATTACGAGGAGGCTTGCAAAAGTTGCAAGACCTGTGCATATGTGAAATCTCCTCGGAATAGAGGCTGCGCTCCGATGATCCCGATGTTAACAAGAAGGCATCATCAACATATTAGGATTGACTTTATGGAAGGGTTACCACCAGCAAGAAGAAGTGGTAGTCTATATATTGTGGTCATGGTTGACTATTTTACCAAGTGTGGGGTATGAGGTGGTACCAATTCCACAAGAAGGCGGAATTTAATTTGGCGAAAGTCGTCTCAAACACATGTGTAGCACGGTATGGTGTCCCAGTGGGCTTATACTCTGAACAGTCAACTGTGAGCTCAGGTTTGTTCTATGCTCGGAATTCGGGAGACACATACTCACCACCTGGTATCATCCATAGGGCGATAGAGCGTAAGAACTGAACGATTAAAGCAATACTTTGTACTTTCGTCAGTCGGACGATGAGTTCTGGGTTCACGTTTCTGTTGAAACACAATCATTTGGTGTCTGACTGGTGACCGTAGGTACCTCTAGGTCACTGTTGATTGCTGATCTTGGGTTCTTTCACTGCTGGTCATCACCCACCATATGTATGTATTCATCAGTTAGTCTATCTGCGCCATCTTTCTTGCATTTTGTAGTTTCCCATTGTTGTGGTGGGGGGAATTCTTTAGTTTAACTGTTTGTGTTGTAGTTATGTGTAGTTTTAATTGGCAGCTAATCAATCACACCGTCACACGAAATGCTGTTTCGCGAACTGCCCTGGAGGCTTATTTTTAATATTTGTTGCATATGTATTTGTGTTTTTTTTCTTTTCAAAATTTGTCATCGTTAATGCTTTTATTTACTACGTATTTTAGTTTTCATAGTTACACCTCTTTCCTTTGATTTGCTTATTTTCCAGGGTGTGACTCGATTATCAAGGGATTCAAGTGTGTGTGTGTGTATGTGGTATTTTCGTCTTGTGCATGTTCACGTATTTGTCTCTCCATTTGTTCGTGTAATTTCATCTATTTTGTTATTGTTATTCTAATTGTCATTGTTGTCGTTGTTGTCATTGTCATTTAGTAATAAGATTGTTAATTTGTGTTTGTTGGTTTGTTCGAGTTGTTCAAATAATTTCCAGTAAAACACAAAGTAATTGAGCAAAGAATATCCTTTTCGATAATTTCCTCCTCTTTTGGCTCTACAATTATATATACATATGTTTATATGCATAGAATATTCTAGAATGGTAGTCAGTATCAATATAAGTGGGTTTTTTTTATAAATAATATCGATTTGTAAAGTAAGATTAATGCAATTACTACAGTTCATTAAAGATGCTTAAATTATAATAATAATAATAAAATTATGATAGCAAATAGAATATCAACTAAATTAGAAAAATTCCACAACATTTGAGGATCATTCAAACGTAGATGGCCAAGGTAAGGATAATGTCTCAACTAGCTTCTTTTGGACACATAAATTAGGCTTCTTAAAGTGGATCCCAACAGCCTCAGAAATATTTAGAAGTCGAACTACTTAGGCGAAATTAAGATTTGTTGGTATGCGGTAAGTGACTTTGAAAGCAGCCTAGTCAACATCAATCTTGTGTTCTGTAACCACAAGATGAGATAGAATAGCTCTATACGAATAGATTTTGTTTGTCCTTTACGTAACCAATTCAATTTCATCAATAACATCTTTCAAAGGTCCATTTTCTAGTTTCTCCAAGGGTAATGTCGGCTAGAATGGGTCCTAGTGGTGACCCCATTGTCTCACCATCGATTTGTCTATAAAGTTCCTTATTAAGTAAATAGTGGATATTCATGTGCATTTCAAGAGAAGCTCCTTCATGAAAGATATAGGAATGCCAACCTCGATGTTTCGTCCTTTGAGTTCTTCACATATAAAGTCCACTGTTTCCATGAGAGGTACATTAGTGAATAAAGAAGATACGTCAAATGATATCATGAATTTATTATCAACATTTAAATCTCTTATCCTTCCAACAAATCCAAAAGTATCCTTTACACTGTGTTGCACAAACTCGGTATGAAGAGGTTGTAAGAGTTCGACCAACCATTTGGCTACGATATGGTACGGTGAATTTAACATATCCAAATACTGGTCGAAGCGGTACACCATTTTTGTGCACTTTAGGCGAGCCATATAATCTTAGTGTGAACGTTCCAGTGGGTTTAAGTGTTCTATACTGACTCTGTGAGATAAAGCAGAGAACATCCTGGATAAATCTAACGATGTTCATCCTGCCATAAATTTTACTATTGAGAAAGAAAAAGACTAATAATTCATTTCTAGACGTCCTTATGACCAGAAAACAGGATGGCACAGTAAGAAGAAGTGTGTATAGAAAACCTACATCAACGGGTCAGTATACTCATTTTTCAGCTTCGTAGCCTTAAAATACAAACGCAATCTGATAAAGTACTTGGTTCATGGAGCAAGAGCAATCTGCTCGGATGAATGTCTTGATGAGGAACTTAATAATATTAAACGGTTGCTGAGTGAAAATGGTTATCCAGAAAAGTGTATTGATAAGAACATGAATCTAAAATCAAGGCAGCCCAAGGCACCAACAGTTCCTAAAAAGGCTTTATTCTTACAAATTCAGTTCCTCGGAGATAACATCAGTGAGATACTAACACCGCCTTAGGAATGCGGTAAAATGAGCATTCTCTGCTGCTGAACTACGCTGCGTCTTCAAAACGATCCATCCCTATTTTGCGTTCGGGAGTAAAAGACAAACTGCTTGATTTCGCCTCTTCCATGTATATCTACCAGTTTAACTGCTCCTATGGAGCCAATAACATAGGCCGTACAATTAGGCGTGTTTATCGTCGAATTTCCGAACATCACCCTGAAAAGTGGTTAAGTAAAGGACAAAACAAATCTATTCGCAGCGCTATTCTATCTTATCTTGTGCATACAGAACACAAGATTGATGTTGACCACCAGACTTTCAGAGTCATTTAGCGCATACCAACGAATCTTAACTTCGTCTTAAGAGTTCGTTTACTAAATCTTGCTGAGGCATTTGGGATCCACATTAAGGAGCCTAATGTATATGTCCAAAAGAAGCTAGTTCAAACATTATCCTTACCTTGGTCATCTAGGTTTGAATAATCCTCAATTTTTTGTAGAAATTTGTCTAATTTTAGTTGATATTCTATTTGCTATCATAATTTTATTATTATTATAATTTGAGCATCTTTAATGAACTGTGGTTATTCCACTGATCTTACTTAACAAATCGATAGTAATTAAAATCCACTAATATTGTTATTGACTACTATTCTAGGATATTCTATGTATATAAACATCTATGTATATAATTGTAGAGTCAGAAGAGGAAATTATCGAAAAGGATTTTCTTTGCTCAATTATTTTGTGTTAAATAATTCTGTAATATGTATTTGCAGATGAAGTTATGCTTTCATGTGTGGTATTTTAAGGACAAGACTTGCGTGGGTATGGGTTATAGGAGAATAGGAGAAATAGATACTTTTTCATTCTCGTTTGTTACTGTTCAGCATTGTGGAAGTATGATC